GGGGGGGGCACACTAATCAGCATTCAGCATCCAACATTTTATATCTATCTCTATAAATATATATATATCAGCCCACTTAATAAGATAACATGTTATAACGCCAGTTGTAGGCGGACTAACCCTAGTTACCCTACTTATAATAACTCAGGCTACAAACGCCCATGCAAAGTGGGGTAAGCCACTAAGTATGTATCTTATCAATATATCCCCATGAATCTTCCACTCATATCCCATGAAAATATTTCATTCATCTCTGACATGGAATTAATGGATATGGAGGTTTCCTAAAACTCATGGGGGCATCTCAATAGAATGATATCAATTGATATTAGGAGGTTTCCTATAATTCCTGGGGGTTCATCTCCCATTGATACGGAGGTTTCCTAAGGGTTCCCCCCAGTTATCATCCATTTATAGATGGGATTTTCACGGATTTTCCATAAACAATTCATAAACCATCCATAAACCATCCAGCTTTTACGGGGCACCAAGCCATCGAAGCGCGGATCGCCTGCCGCACGATCCTCCAGTTGCTTCAGCAGTGCCATGGAGGCTTCAAGGCCCATCTGCAGGGCATTTTAACATGGGATGTATCATAAATAGCCAAGAATATAGCGGATATATGCACATGTATATAGATATATAGTGTATATATAATAATGTTGGCTGCCTAATAGGAATTAACCCCCCCTAATTTTGTTATTTTTATTTTAATTTAGGGGGGGGGGTCAACCTTCCTATAATAATTTTTGGGAATCTATAGCTGGGATCATGATATGTATTTGATAGATTCTCCATGGTTTTGTTGGGTTTCTGAAAGATTCTGAATGGATTTGGTGGAGGCGAAGGAGGAGGACGAGGAGGAGGAGAAGAAGGAGAAGAAGGAGAAGGAGAAGGAGGACAACAAAATTGGAGTTGCGGAAAAAAGTTTCCACTATTGCCATGCCTGGTGGGGCTTGCAAAGGGGGTACCCTTTGTGGACCTGTTTTTTTGCTTTTTTTAATAAGTGTTTTATAAGGAAATCAGCTGTTTGGTAATCGGATCAGATTTCTGGAATCTCAGCTTTTGCTAATCAAAAGTGAAGGCTGCTTTGAAAAGGATTTGCTTTACTTGACTCTTTTGGCAATACTCAAAGTAAATAGAGCTAATTGACTTTTAGTATTGGAGAAAAAATTGGAGTTGGGAAAAAAGTTTCCACTATTGCCATGTTGGGTCCACTATTGGCCATGCCCTCTGGACAAGGTCTGAACATGATTCTTTTGGCAATACTAAAAGTAAATAGAGCTAATTGACTTTTAGTATTGGAGAAAAATTGGAGTTGCGGAAAAATGTTTCTACTATTGACAAGATATCACTATTGGTCAGACAACATTATGTCACACATATATATATAATATGTCACATACATATATATATATACAGTATATATACATACACATATTGAGCGAATGTGTATATATGAATATAGATGTATATTAACTGAATATGTATGCAAGGATATGCATTGGTTAATTCTAGGATATTGTTTTTCAAAACAGGAAGCAAACAACGACAATTTCATGACCATGTTATGGGATGTTATGGGTGAAAAAAGACTGGGACAATGGGATATATTCACCAACAATTAATAGACATAATGACATAATTCATGTCTATGGCTGCAACTAAAACTATCCGAAACAAGGTCATGATCCAAGATGTCTCAACATGTTGGAATTGGAATGTGTGGGAATGTGGGATACATGGGAATGTAACTTTCAGATCCTTTCAAGAAGGAAGATCTGGGGGGTTTAAGTTGGATGATTCCATATTACCGTATGTTAAAAACTGGAAAAACAAATGTATGGAATATGGCGAAGATGGGCATGTGTAGGTCATCCTCATCTCAAGTAAGCTGAAGGAAAACAGTGTGAACGTTCAGCAGCCAGTGACGTGCTGCATTCTATTGAAAGGAACTTGCCCGCAAAGTTGTTTCCTGTGGCCCAACGCAAGAATCTGTGCTTTCAACCATCCCAAAGATGCTTTTGACTTGGATGATAATTCCAGTCCGGATGGATTGAACATCAAACACATCCGTGAAACCGCCAGCGCATCTTTTTAAAGTACTGCTATTAAACTCACCAGTTTCTTCTTTCAACATCTTTATCAGTATTCTGAACGCAGCCTCAGAACAAGGCCAAACAAAATGCGCACCAAATGATGGGTTCCCTCCCACGAATCCTTCTCTAGGACAGCTGCCACTTTCACGTAGTTGATCTTCTGGGGAAAGGAAGGAGAGCCCAAAAAAAGGTGAAACAATGGGGAAAAATGAAAGACATGTGCGACATGCATCAAAATGATGAGTTTTGGGAAGTCACTTGAAGTTCTCCCTGAAAATGCCAGGAAAAGAAGCATTTTCCTGAAGACTTGGGCTCCGCTGGTCACGGTGGATTGAACATTGTGAGATGGTCCACGTCATTCTTCCCAGCAAGTCATTCTCAACAAGCGTTTTTTTCTGATGATAAAGTGTCATCTGCACTAAATCGTACACTCACCCTCTGGTTATTTAACGTAGCCATGGAAAATCACCATTTTTAATAGGTAAACCATCTATAAATGGGCCATTTTCCATGGCTATGTTAAATAACCATATGGTAATCATTGCATCCTATGATATTCTCATTGGATCACCATTGCAGATTCTGTTTCAGTTCCAACTCAGCTGCCCTGAAGCCCATCAGTTTCCTTCAGCAATCCGCCGTAGTCATTCAGCCATTCGATGCCTTGGCGCTTCACCCGAGGTTACCCTTCGGTACTGAAAGATGGCTGGGTGGAAAATCCCCAATAGATGGAGGTTTCAATGGGAATGTCATCTAAAAATACCTATGTGTGTGAATGGGTGATTTTCCATTCCCACGTTTGATTACCGAACCCAGCTCGGTACAATGAAAATCAATAAAATAAAAAAAGTGGTGAGATGTGGTCTTATCTGTTTATATCCATTCAGATTCAGCACGGCCTGTGATGGAACAGCCAAATCCCCATTTTTTTCACGCTCGACGCATCTGGTCGGATGACGGATGACTTTCTTTGCGCCTTCCTGGCCTCTCAGCGTCCTGGATCTTGTGACGTGAGCTACGGTTGTTGCTGTAGCAGCGTAGCACAAACAATCGGGGATGCCTTCAGACATGTTGACACCTTTAATACTAACCATTTTTTTGGGATGAACACCCAAATAAACCAGCAATCTGAGACAATTTGATTCAATTTTCATGATCACCGCGATATGTACCAGAGTTTTGGCTCATTATGCAATGTTTTACACGTATTGAAAGCTGGGATGTCAATGGATTTAGAATAATTTAGGATCATCATTCCAGGATGTAATAACATTCAAGTAAGGTTTGAAACTACCAGCCCTGAGGCACAATTTGAGGTATCAGCGTTCCTAAATGTTCCTAAGATGCAGGTCACTGGCAAGCCTGGGTACAACATTGACAGCTGCATTGGTCCGGGCGACCGTTCACCGCTGGGCCCGGGACGAGCTACGTCACACAACGGAGGAGTGACACTGGGGGTGCCGGTGGCACTGGCGTGCAGAACTATGACCCCCAAAATCTGTTCAATGGACCTCTGGGAAAAAATCAGTTGAACGTGGCTAGGAAATCCCTCGGTTCATGGAGGTTTTAATAGGAATATATATATATATATATATGGGAATATCATCTATAGGTGAGGGGATTTTCCACTGTATACTGTAGCATGTTTGATTACCGGGATATTACGGATACTGTACTCAAGAGATCTCAAGAGATCTCTCCCATTTGGTGCCCAACCAGCTGCCACCAACTGCATCTGCATGATCTGATCATCTGCCATTTCTGTCAACTCAAAAGACATACGATGTCTGAGGGTACTAAACGGATAGTAAATTGTGTATATTTCATCTATATCCCAGTTTCGGCTTAGAATACTAAGAATACATCAAATGTCAACCCCAGATTCATCAAGCATTCATCAAGCCCTAACTCTTAAAAATGAATAAACATGAGGGCTTAAAAAAAGGTGTGATCACTATTCGAAGTAGTACAACCGCCATCAACTGGGATCATCCCGGTACCCCCGTGCATCCCGAAGTGGCGACAGGAGGTGACACGCTTTTTTTCTTTCGCTTCGCAACGCGAGGTTTGAAACAGAACCAGCACGTAGCTTGCTATGTGGTGAAATGCTGTGGAATTACATGGAATTACTATAGAACAGACAAGTAGATCAGCAACAAAATGGCTGTGGCTTAATTCATTCGGATCTTGATAGTATGAATCAGAGCCTATTCTGAAACAAATCTATAGAGAGAGATCAATCACATACACAAAAAAACAGATGAATCATTTCAAACCATAGGTGCCCTTGAGTCCACATAACAAATGAACATGGCAACAAGGAAACAACTTCAAAGAGTCACGTCTCACAATTTCACAATCAAATCATGCTTGTCGGGTATGGCCCCCCAAAAAGGTTTCGTGGCCGTAAAAAGGCCAAAGACAATGAACAAAAACATAGTGCTGTGCTTGTGAGCCTTGTGAAAAGCGGCCAACTTTTAGTGTGAAAAGCCGAGTGTTTTTCAATGTCCCTTGGCCAAAGAGCAACATATAACAATAAGTGTGAGTGATGGCTAGAATCTATCTAAATCACAGAGATTCCCCAATGTTCATCGATTAATATACATAATACCCATTACCCTATGGTAAACATACATATATAGCTATTGAACATGGCCCATAGGAATTTAGTGGATTTTCCCATTAATAGCATGGTGATTTTCCAGTTAGTTATGTAAACGTTTACCAGAGGGTAAATCCAATCTGAAATCCCATTAGATCCCATTAAACCACCACAAAAACCCATTAAATCCCCATTAAAACCATAATACCCATTAATACCCTAGAATCAACTGCGCTTTTGACCACTGCTCGTTCCTCGTTCCATCATCTCCAAGGGATAGCCGAGGAAAACTGCTGCACTCAGTGGCCCGGACCCTGGAAACCTGGGAACTTTTTCGCGATGCAAAGTAGATATCCTTGTATGATCTTGTATGTACATTGCATATTTATATATTTATGTATATATATATATTATATATATATAACATCTGTGTACATATGTATTATTATGTATTACAGTACACGATACTGTATTGGGAGTTGTTTGGGCTCATGCTAAATGAGAGAAATCTGAAAACAATATCATTTCTGATGAGGATTTTATAGAGAATTTGGAGGTTTGATGGCTTGGATGATCTCTGAGCTTGCCATTCACGACGACAATTTAATTAAGTGGGAAGATCTCATCAATCTATCACAGTTGATTACGGGAGTATCTGCGGAAAATAGTGGAAAATGGATATAGTACCCATAGCTTCGAACCATCAAACCGATCCTGATCCCCACTGGATAGTTAATGATAGTTATACCAACCACATTCTCAGATCATCATCCCGCGTGATCCTGGCCGTAATCCGAGTGACTTGTCAAATCTACTGGCCGAGCTTTGGTAAATCAAATTACCCGGCCTGGTAAACGTTGAATCAGTTTGCGAACTGAAACATGGCCCATAGGAATAGTTGATTTACCCATGAAGAATGGGTGGATTTTCCATAGTCATGATAGTTTACCAGACGGTAATCTGACAATTGATTTCTTTCCCGTTTATCCACACTCTTTGACGACAGGATTCTCCATAAGCTGCGCAACAACCCAACCTCTTATTCCCCTTATCACCTATCAGTGAAAATGAGTTTCCAAGAAACTGAATCGCAAGCTCCACTGAACAAGAGAACCAGAAGCCATGATGTCCCTGAAATTCTTGGGTTTACTCCCCAACTTTGGACCTCGAAATCACCACTTTGGTGATGAACATCTGAACTTTATTGTGGATAGCTGTATAGGCTTGTAGGCATATATAAGTTAGGCATCCCAAACTTTGCTTATCATCAATTGGGATTCTTTAAGTAATAATACTTACATACATTTACCTTCAAATTGAAGAATATAGAATAATTATCCCCAAGAGTTGGCGGTAAATATTCCACACTATTCTAAAAATCCTCGTGGATCACTATCAACCGACGATGAAAAACCAGAATCATGCGGACGGCCCCTGACATCTCCAAGTCACGTCGATTATTTCCTCCTTTGTAGGCACCCATGGGAGTACCCTGGAGACAAACCACGTCCAGGGGGTGTTGCTCGTTGATGGGAAGACAGGTGAGTGGGTGTGTCCAAGAATCTGTTGTATACCTGTACATCTGAGGGAGCATGATGATTCCCCACCAAATTCGGAGATATCCAATTTTCGAACTATCATTTTTTTACAGTGAAAGTATGAACACATATCAACATTAATACGTGTTTTTTTTTTACACCGCTTTGTAACTTATCTATCTATATATAGCCCCAATGGACATAGACTCAAAAAGTAACGTTCACCTGGGAGAATCACCCGAAAAACTGTTTGGACATTGGGATTGAAAACAGTTGAGTTTTCATCAACTTTTTTTTTTTTTTAAAACATCAGTTTTATCATATTCCCCAAAGAATATGATTCTTATGATCAAACTATCTCAATTATATCTGAACTTACTGGTGCTAAACACAGGGAATCTTCGGGAATGATCCATAATCACTAGTAATAATCATTCCAGCAACCCCCATTCCAGCAACCCCCATTCCAGCAACCCCCATTCCCATCCATTCCCTACGTTTAGCACCAGTAAGTGAATATATCCAGAACATATCCTAGGTATGATTGGCCAACGAACCAATTTTTGGGTCAGCTCTTGGCTTCGTTCACCTCATCATCGGTGGACATGCTGTCGTAGCCCCGCGATCGTCTCTGCCGGATGCACCAAATTGCACCTGCACTGACCAAAAAAAATAGGGTAACTGGCTTACCGGAGTTTTTTCAATGGGAATATGATGGATATTATCCATGGGCAAATATATATATATATAATATAATATATTATATAATATATAATATAATATATATATAATAAATAATATAGAATATATATATATATATATTATATGTATATGTACATATGTATATATATACACATACGTATTTGGTATAGAATAGGGCTACATTGAGAATATGATGGGAACATACCACTACTATTACCAATCAGCCATGGGAGTAGCATGTGCCGAGTTTATACCCAGATAGTTTGAGCTTTGGACGGTCCATGGTTGATTATAAGCTCCCATTCTATCTCATTGTATTCCATTCAATATCCCACAACATGTAACATCAGAGAATATATATATATCCTCATCATAATATTATCAAACAACACATAATATAACATATTTTACAAAAAAAAATGTAGTACACTATAGTACACTATAGTACAATATAATAATTAATATAATTTAATATAATACATTATAATATAATATAGCATAATATGATATAATGTATATCAATGCATACAATCATGGTTATACCCTGTAACTACCCATAACTTGGCTGATGAAATCACCCCTTTACGTTCAGCAGGGGCGCCCCAAATGACCACATTTGCCAGGACCAAAGCAATGGCAATGGGCACTACAGGGATGCCGCCACCCTGTTGTCCAGCCTGAGGTCAGGCAAAACTTCGGCCAGTCAGTCTTAGACATTAGATCATGTGGTAAACCTAATAAACCCAGTTTATACCATACATTTATGATGATTTTCTGGATGGTTCATTATTGGGTTAACTAAACGTGAGATAGTTCGTAACTCTCAGACAAAAATTAAGACTGAAGTCATTTGCAAGTACCATGACTTAATTTCCTGTTCTATCTTTTGAGGGGGGTTGCTATATGAAAAAAAACCTAAACTATCGATCCATCCTGTCCCATCAATAAATCGGATTTTTGAGATGTTTGATCAATTTGTAATATAAATGAGGATAGGAAACCACTAGATTTAACCGATTTAACCACTAGGAAACCTCAATCAAATACTACCTGGACTCCTAGGAATTCACCACGGTGACGACCAGTTGCTTGGACGCCCGTAGCTTCTCCAAGTACCATGACTTTAGCAGACATCCCATTTTGCTGGTTGAAGCCCTGTTCTTAATTTTGGAACCTCCATTTAGACCACCATTCTTAGTAGTTAATCCATATTGAAGCCCTATTCTTACTGGTGAAACTCTGTGTTTTAGTCCATGTTTTCCTGCTGATTCAACAGCCATGGAACAACAGCCATACGTTGCGCCGAGGCGCGTCCATGTGATCAATGACGTGCGTCTGTGCGCTCGGCACCGGCGGGGGCAGGAAGTCCTTCTGCTGCTCTGGGGGGAGCCTCGGGGGTAGCTGACTGAAGTCGGGTCCAAGTCACCATGATACTCAAATGGCGGTTTCATAAAAAAGGGGTACCCCCAGTCATCATCCATTTTAATAAGATTGTCCCTTAGAAACCATCCATTTTTGGGTACCCCCATTTTTGGAAACCCCATTTTTGGTTAATGACTTGGATGATTTGGGGTATGCCCATGACGCCCAGGAAACCTTCATATGAGGTCAACTCCAGCTACAAGTCGACCATGATCCTACTTCGCCGATTTATACCCAGGTTTGTAATCTGTTTACTCAGTGCCATGAACCACCAAGTGGTTTGGCGTATTTGAGGTTCTTAATAACCCCAAGCGTTTGGATTTCTTAAGAATTATGACATGATATTCTTGGGGTAGTTAAACGGACAAAGTATGGAGACTAACCAACAAACAAAAGATATGAGTGATAAGAGGTGAAAAATGGACTTCAAAATAGGATATAAAATATGGAGATTAAATAGCATATAAAATATGGAGATTGCCAAACAAAGATAGGAATATTCGTACTGGTAGTAAGGGACAAAGTACGGATATTGCGTACACAAAAATGACAATAATCATTTGGTGAGTGAGCCACTCCTAGCAAATCACCTTTGCCAGCACATCAACCAGTCTAGTCTATGCTCAACGATGGGTGCATGACCAGTCACACTGCTTTATATAATCATATATATATATACATATGTATTCATATATGTATTCATATATGTATTCATATATGTATTCATATATGTATATATGTATTCATATATGTATTCATATATATATATATATGTATTCGTATACATATATATATATACACATTCATATTAATATATATATACACATTCATATATATATATGTACACATATGTATATATATACATACATATACATTCATATATATATATATATAAAGTTATATTATCCAGTATACATGCACATTATACACTTGTTGGTCCAGATATGTCAAGATTCCTCTGTGTAGTAGCTATTCAACATCCCAAACCCAGGAACCTTCAAATTTTGGCGACTCCCTTTGCGACTCCCTCAGTAATCTGTGCACAGCTCTGCTGGGCCAAGCGCTCACATCTTGAATCAAGAGGCGTGCTAACACAAATGCCCTCTTCATTGCATGGGCCCCTTAGGCATTGGCAAACACCTCCCGAGTGGCCAGAAAGGGGAATTGTTGTACCGACTCTTCATCCATATTTCAGCAAGAATGCGCGGATACTTCACAAAGAAAGGTGTACGAGGCATTCTTGGAGGAGTTGTTTTTGAGCGACTGAAGTTGTTCCCCTTCAGACCCTTTCACCTCACCTGTGTTTTGACAGTTGGGAGAAACACATCACCATCCAATTTCCTAGAGACAATAGTGTCTGAACATGTGGCATGGGGAATATGACGACTAAGCAATCTCTGGGCAATCATGTCTTGAGGACGCGCAAATCAGGGCGAATAGGGTTGCTGTTTAGAATCCCGCATGGGTTAATTTCCTATATAAACACATATGCACAGGTTCTACCCCTAAATTCCTCGATGAAAACCACATGTTTATGTTTGTTTCCATTTGGGTTTATCTGAAAATAAAGTACCCCTAACTCCATTGGTTAACCATCATTTTGCCCATTGTATTCTTTTGGCATATCCCATTCTTTTTTCAGACAGACCCATCCTCGTCTTATCAAACTTTGGCCCATCCAACGCATCAATAGCTCGCCTTCCTTCATGGCGAAAGCACTGGAACCCACGCACTGGGTGCGCCCTCGGCTGGCTTTGCAGCCCATGCCTTCAAGGCCAATGTTGGGATGGTTCCCTTTACTGAAATTATGATAGAATTTATGATGATATGTATGTATTTTTATGATATGTGATGTGTAGATTTTAGATATGATACTTATGATATTTAAGACATATATATATATATACATATTATATCATATATACCCGAGGGGCTAGGACATCTCCGATGGGGTAGGGTAGGGTGGGGTGAGGTGGGGTGGGGTGGGGGGTGGGGCAATAACGTTCATGTACACTTGAAAACATGTGCTCTTTTGATGCTACACATGACCAAAGGCCAACTTGGACGACACGGTTTGAGTCGCAATGTCAGTGACCCCATCGAGCATAGACATGTCTTAGTTGTACACTACCTGAACAAAAACCCAGGACTCAACCCGGTGTTGTTAGCTTTGTTTGGCCCGGTTGAGAAAGTATGCAAAACATTCCTACACGCCTGTCGCCTGTCAGTCAAGTTTTTTCAAACGCACCGTGGGAATGTTAAAACAAACTTGCAGACAGAACATGATAACAAAGAAATGGAAATGGAACACAGCAACAAAAAAAATGACTATCAAGATGCGGCTTGGTTCACGACGTTAGAAAGTACTGCAAATACCAATGCAAAATGGCCTCGTTCATTCTCACTGGCGTTTCCCAATGATTTTTACCCTTTTCTCATTTTAACATGAATCCGTTAAAACGACGGTCCAGTAGTGCGTGACGACGCGCTTCAATTGCAGACAAGGGACGTCATGTTTTTTTTCTATGGTTTTTGCGGTGTTCTTTATATGACACTGTCATGGTATTCCAAGTTTGTTAAATTGAGTTTTCACTGGCACCACAGTTTCGTGCATGTCGAACGGGGCTACAGCGAAATGGCAATTTTTGTATCAAAGAACTATTTTTTTTGTGCCCGGTTTCTTGAAAGGTGAGTTGAGTGATGTTGAATACAGCGAAACGGCGAGTTTGACATCAATCAGGTACTTATTGTTGAACCCGTTTCATTGATAGGTGACCTCAGGGAGGCTGAAACGTTTTTTCTCGCCTTTGAGGTCACTCGAACAGCCAAGAGCTGTTTTGGTCAAGAACGAGGAACTCCTTTGGTTCGTGTTCCAGTGCATTTTTGAACCTTTCTCGGACTTGTCCTATGACTTTGAGGACATTCATCAGCGTGTTAAAGAATGCAAGAAAATTTCCAAAGCGTAGCATCACGAACGTGTTAAAGAGTGCAAGAAAACTTCCAAAGCATAGCATCACGAACGTGTTAAAGAGTGCAAGAGAACTTCCAAAGCGTAGCATCAAGAACGAGTGCAAGAGAACTTCCAAAACGTAGCATCAAAAACATAGAAGCACGCTGACAAGCAGAAAGGAAACCTCAGAAACGCGTCGCAACGTACGACTGGAGCTTAAAACAAAAAACACAAATTAATTCCAGGATGGAGGCACCAATGCAGAGTGAGTGCATTTTGTACTTAAATTTAAATGGACAAAAAAAACATCGTCCGTCAAACATATAGTTTTCAAGACAATACACGGTGCTCAAAAATGTGCAAATTACCACAGCAAAAACACAATTTTCAACATTTCCACTCAACCACAAACATGATGTATCGGAAAACTTAGCGTCCCTAGCGTATGTATGTAGATAGATAGATAGATAGATAGATAGATAGGTAGGTAGGTAGGTAGGTAGATAGGTAGATAGGTAGATAGGTAGATAGGTAGATAGACAGATAGATAGATAGATAGATAGAAAGAGAAATAGACAGATAGGCAGATAGACAGATAGACAGATAGACAGATGGACAGATAGACAGAGATAGACAGATCGACAGATCGATAGATAGATAGATCGATAGATAGATAGAAAGATAGATAGATAGATTGATAGATAGATAGATAGATAGATTGATTGATAGGTAGATAGATAGATAGATAGATAAACTGATAGATAGACAGATAGACAGATAGACAGATAGACAGATAGACAGATAGACAGATAGACAGACACACAGACAGGCAGACAGGCAGACAGACAGACAGACAGACAAACAGAGAGAGAGAGAGAGAGAGACATAGATAGATAGATAGATAGATAGATAGATAGATCCATAGATCGATAGATCGATAAAAAGATAGATCGATCGATAGATAGATAGATAGGTAGGTAGGTAGGTAGATAGATAGATAGATAGATATGTAGGTAGGTAGGTAGGTAGGTAGGTAGATAGGTAGATAGGTAGATAGGTAGATAGGTAGATAGACAGATAGATAGATAGATAGATAGATAGAAAGAGAAATAGACAGACAGACAGACAGACAGACAGATAGATAAACAGATATACAGATAGACAGAATGGTGAGTTTCAAGCAGCATGTGATGGCGTCAATTGGGGTCATCATCTCATTTTCCACAAATACCCCCTAACAAAAACACCCCACTTTTCCCTTATGGGGTATCCCTGGGAATGATTGTCCACCTTACTGGGAAACTTGGTTGTCCACCTCGCGGCTATTTTGAAACCACCAACCAATGATCTATGATTGGTTTTGTGCAGTGCCGCACAAAAAACGATTCCCAGACGGTCCTCTGGCTCGGCGTTATCGACTGGCTGCATGTGGTGTTTTTTTTCGACGGTGTTTTTCACGTTTTCTTTACGGCCCCCAAAATCTCCAAAAATCCAATGATTCCTCTTGTTTTGCCCCAAACATCCAATGATTTCTCGGTTTTTTTTGACAAAACAATTCCATTTTCAAACGGGCTAAGTAGCTGATTGTCAGAACATGGCTGAGTCTTCCCAATCTCTCCCACGATTTCACGTGAAATCCCCCAAAGGTACCAACCAAGACTATCTGACAACAGTAACAGTAGTAAAACTAGTAAGAGTATGTAATAGTAAAACTACTGATAATAATAATTGTTATTGTTATAAGTTATAACCGCCATCACCAAATTCTCATGATATCCTCATACAATATCCTTGCAACATATATAATGATAACCGTTTGAATGTAAGCATTGTATGGTAGATGTTGTTATACAACGTCACCATGTAAAAAAACAATGTTCTCATGGTTGTTATATGGAGGTTTCCTCGTGGGGATACCCCTCATCCAAGTCATTGGATTTTATCATTGGATTGGTTTAAGGGAAAATTAAAACGAGAACGCCCCCATTGGTTTTAATGGCAAAAACCATGGTTTCCAGATTTTCCGGAAAAAAACAATCCGATGATTTTTTGTTCTATGGGGATACCCCATTTCCTCATCCAAGTCATTGGGTTTTCATATTGGAACCCATGGTGACGACTGGGGACGGCTGTACGCCTGGCAAGTTCATGCAGGTGGATCCAATGCAGCAGCTATCCCCGATGCACGGCACCGTCTCGGGCGGATGCTCCAAGCGGTTCTCCTCAGTCATCAACTACTTCAACGACTTCAAGGTTCTTGAAAATATGCCAAAAATATGTAAATACTGTAGTAAATGGTTATTATCATTGTTATTATCAGTTTTACTATTGATATTATCTAAATCTAAACATATACTGCATCCCAATCATTCCCACACCGGATTTTGTCTTGGCTCGGAAATTTGTCTCTTCTGCAACACGTTCGCCACGCGTACGAACTTAAATGGTTGTTCAAACCAAGTCAACCCTGAAGCAATAAAACACTTTTACACGGTTGGTTGGATCTCCCCAGCACAATGGATTTCACCGATTCATTTTTGTTTCTTTGGCCTGGCATTTGATGCGCTTCACTTTACTGTACCCACTTGATGGTTTCAAGAAATCTAAAAAAAATACAGACAAAAGCGAACGCAAATCTTCATCACACATGTAAAAATTCTTAAAAGTTACAAAAAACAATGAACCAAACAACTAACCAGTAATATATGTGTTCATCTTGTGTATATCTATGTGTAATTTTCTGGTGACAAGTGACAACCCCAATAAGAACTCAATTTTCAATCAAACCACCAGCAGTGGATCGTACAACAATACAAGGTTCAGTTGAAGAACAAACAAGATGAAAAGATAATGCGTTAACGGACTTTGCCTTTGAGCAAACGTGTTTCAAACAAATACTTTACTTCGAGTGATCCCCACCATGGCATTTCAAAGCATTCCGTGCTCTAGTACCAACCCTCAGCTACAAGTCCCATTGCAAGACTCACAGCATTGTTTTATCTGAAGCAAAGTCTTTTGTATGTCATGGGGCGTATCGCTGACATTCTTTCTGGCATTCTATCTGGTATATCTTCGGAGATTCTTTGTGGTTGAGGTCTGGCGGGGAACACTCTGATCCTGAGCCAGCCGTGGAGGTCCGGCGTGGAACACTCTGATCTGGAGCTTGCGGTGGAGGTCCGGCGGGGATCACTTTGATCCAGGGGTTGCTGTTCGGGTCCGGCGGGGAACACTGCGATCTAGAGCTTGCAATTGAGGTCCGGAGGAGGAAGGAGGAGGAAGGAGGAAGGAGGCGGGCAGGCTGACAAAAAATCTATAACAACCCTCACCTGACAGGTGGGGGAAAAAAACGAATAATGCCCAATGTTCCATATTGTTTCTTTAAATCAACCAACAACCAGCTGAAAAACACATGTTCCAAGTGTCATGTGCTTGGGAGGATCAGTTTGTATCTCCAACTGGCTATTCTCTTAAAACAATGCAAAAAACAAAACTGATGATACAACCATAGCTCCAAACCGCTGCCTCCATCACCAACCAACAATTTTTGGGCTTGCCGAGGGCGAATCTCAACCATCGCCTGGTGAAACTCCCCGTTGGCAGCTATTAATATTTAATATTCAAGTGATAAGTCCAAGTTTAGACCTGTAGTAAACAATCCATTTCCATGTGTGTATATATATATATACACGTATATACACGTATAATTAATATGGTACATATATTATACGTATATATAATATACGCATCATGTAATATAACGTATATAATATGACGTACATACATACACTCTACACTACTATACACCATAATATAATATAATACAGCAATGTCTTTCTATAGATATTATACACTTTACACAAAAATACATATATATATATACATATATAATGTATATCAATGTATATCCACCATGTCTTTTCCCAGGTGTTTTTCACTGAATTTCCCCAAGGTTCCACCATCTTCTCTGCCTTGGTGGCCATGATCCCCGCCACCTGCCCCGCCATGGCCGTGGCCATGCTGGCAGGATCTTGTGCCGCCGTGTGCGCCACGGCAAGGCCGGAGAGGAGCCGCCACATCCTGGACATGGGATTTACCTGGGATTCAATGGGCTTTATATCAGATGTCTATGGGATTCATAGATTACCATCTGGTTATTTAACATAGCCATGGAAAATCACCATTTTTAATAGGTAAACCATCTATAAATGGGCCATTTTCCATGGCTATGTTAAATAACCAGAGGGTAATATATATTAAGATATGGGGATATATGGAGATTAACAAGGAGATGAACATTGATGCGGAGGTCAATTGTTGGATTTACCCTTCGGTCAAACGTCGCTGTTTGAAAACCCTCTGTGAACATTCTATGAACGGTGGATTCCAAGATTGGTACTGTGGTGATATACTGCTGATTTAAGAATTCCGGCTATAATGGGAATCTAATGGACATTTAATGGGATTTGATGGGGATTCAGGATGATCCGGCCCATCCAGCACATTTAGTTCGATCATTGACCTATTGTTTTACCAGAGGGTAACTGGGAATTTGTGATTCACCAAAATCATGGGGACTTACACACCTCAATGTCAAGATGCTCTAGGCAATCTCATTAACTAGACGACGGATGGCCCGAGAGCGTAGAGGAGCAGAGTCTTCTGTTGTTAGTATGGAGACACTATATTACAAGATAATATGATAAAGATGTATTATAGGCAGACGAGAAGAGTAGTATCAAGACAATATATGACTAGTACAAGACAATAGTTTGCATCGTATTTTTGTAAAGTTTTTCATACACAGAACTTTTTACAGACAGACGCTTTTGCACACAGAGACTTTTACACACAGACGCTTTTACACACAGACGATTTTGCATACAGAGACTTTTACACCCAAACACTTTTACACACAGAGACTTTTACATACACAGACGCTTTTACACACAGAAGCTTTTACACACAGACGCTTTTACGCACAGACGCTTTTACACACAGACGCTTTTACACACAGACGCTTTTACACACAGACGCTTTTTACACACAGGCTCTTTTACACACAGACGCTTTTACACACAGACGCTTTTACACACAGACGCTTTGACACACAGACCCGTTTACACACAGAGGCTTTTACACACAGAAGCTTTTACACACAGACGCTTTTACACACAGACCCGTTTACACACAGAGGCTTTTACACACAGTTGCTCTTGCACACAGACGCTTTTACACACAGACGCTTTTACACACAGACGCTTTTACACACAGACGCTTTTACACACAGAGGCTTTTACACACACAAGCTTTTGCACACAGACGCTTTTGCACACAGACGCTTTTACACACAAACACTTTTACACACAAACACTTTTACACACAAACACTTTTACACACAGACGCTTTTACACACAGACGCTTTTACACACAGACGCTTTTACACACAGACGCTTTTACACACAGACGCCTTTACACACAAACACTTTGACACACAGACACTTTACACACAGACGCTTTTACACACAGACGCTTTACACACAGACCCTTTTACACACAAAAGCTTTTACACACAGACGCTTTTACACACAAAAGCTTTTACACACAGACGCTTTTACACACAGACGCTTTTACACACAGACGCTTTTACACACAGACGCTTTTTACACACAGGCACTTTTACACACAGACGCTTTTACACACAGAGACTTTTACACACAGACGCTTTTACACACAAGCGCTTTTACACACAGACGCCTTTACACACAGACGCTTTTACACACAGACGCTTTGACACACAGACCCGTTTACACACAGAGGCTTTTACACACAGAAGCTTTTACACACAGACGCTTTTACACAGAGACGCTTTTACACACAGACGCTTTTACACACAGACGCTTTTACACACAGACGCTTTTACACACAGACGCTTTTACACACAGAAGCTTTTGCACACAGACGCTTTTGCACACAGACGCTTTTACACAGAAACACTTTTACACACAAACACTTTTACACACAAACACTTTTACACACAGACGCTTTTACACACAGACGCTTTTACACACAGATGCTTTTACACACAGACGCTTTGACACACAGATGCTTTTACACACAGACGCTTTTACACACAGACGCTTTTACACACAGACGCTTTGACACACAAACACTTTTACACACAGAGGCTTTTACACACAGACGCTTTTACACACAGACGCTTTTACACACAGACGCTTTTACACACAAGCACTTTTACACACAGACGCTTTTACACACAGACGCTTTTACACACAGACGATTTTACACACAGACGCTTTTACACACAGACACTTTTACACACAAAAGCTTTTACACACAAACGCTTTTACACACACTTTTACACAGACAGACGCTTTTACACACAGACGCTTTTACACACAGAGGCTTTTACACACAAACGCTTTTACACACAGAGACTTTTACACACACACGCTTTTGCACACAGACGCTTTTACACACAGACGCTTTTACACACAGATGTTTTTAGACACAGACGCTTTTACACACAGACGCTTTTACACACAAACGACTTTTACAGACAGATGCTTTTACACACAGACGCTTTTACACACAGACGCTTTTACACACAGACGCTTTTACACAGAGACGCTTTTACACACAGAGACTTTCACACACAGTTGCTTTTACACACAGACGCTTTTACACACAGACGCTTTTACACACAGAGGCTTTTAAACACAGAAGCTTTTACACACAAGCGCTTTTACACACACACGCTTTTGCACACAAACGCTTTTGCACACACAGTCTTTTACACACAGACGCTTTTACACACAGACGCTTTTACACACAGACAAGTCCGGCACAGGAAAAATCGCAATTTTTCCTCAGTTTTTGACGATCGACCTTCATTTCGTGCGAAAGGGTTGCTCCGGCACAAGTAAAATCGCAATTTTTCACCAGTTTTTGACGATCGACCTTCATTTCGTGCGAAAGGGTTGCTCCGGCACAAGTAAAATCGCAATTTTTCCTCAGTTTTTGACGATCGACCTTCATTTCGTGCGAAAGGGTTGCTCGAGGACAAGTAAAATCGCAATTTTTCCTCAGTTTTTGCCGATCGACCCTCATTTCGTGCGAAAGGGTTGCTTTAGCACAAGTAAAATCGCAATTTTTCCTCAGTTTTTGCCGATCGACCCTCATTTCGTGCGAAAGGGTTGCTTTAGGACAAGTAAAATCGCAATTTTTCCTCAGTTTTTGCCGATCGACCCTCATTTCGTGCGAAAGGGTTGCTCCGGGACAAGTAAAATCGCAATTTTACCTCAGTTTTTGCCGATCGACCCTCATTTCGTGCGAAAGGGTTGCTCCGGGACAAGTAAAATCGCAATTTTACCTCAGTTTTTGCCGATCGACCCTCATTTCGTGCGAAAGGGTTGACGTTTCGTGACTCGCCGCCGGCACCACCCTCGGCCTTAAGAGAGAAAGATAAAGAAGGCGAGAGAGAGAAAAGGGAGAGAGAAAGGAGAGAAGATGTGAAGATGAGAAGATGTGAAGAGGAGCAGATGTGAAGATGAGCAGATGTGAAGATGAGCAGATGTGAAGATGAGCAGATGTGAGAGAAGATGTGAAGATGAGCAGATGTGAGAGAAGATGTGAGAGAAGATGTGAGAGAATATCTAAGAGAAGATGTGAGAGAAGATGTGAAGATGAGCAGATGTGAGAGAAGATGTGAGAGAGATGTGAGAGAAGATGTGAAGATGAGCAGATGTGAAGATGAGAAGATGTGAGAGAAGGTGTGAAGATGAGCAGATGTGAAGATGAGCAGATGTGAGAGAAGATGTGAAGATGAGCAGATGTGAAGATGAGCAGATGTGAGAGAAGATGTGAGAGAAGATGTGAAGATGAGCAGATGTGAGAGAAGATGTGAGAGAAGATGTGAAGATGAGCAGATGTGAGAGAAGATTTGAAGATGAGCAGATGTGAGAGAAGATGTGAGAGAAGATGTGAAGATGAGCAGATGTGAGAGAAGATGTGAAGATGAGAAGATGTTTTACAGACCCCCACTATTGGAAGAACCCTGCGCTCAGACGCTCTCGGGAAAAAATGTGGAAAGTACTATGTTACTTACATACGCAAAACAAGGCATACATATTTGCTTACATTTGTTTGGATGATTACCCCCAATCCGAAGCATCGTAGAAAGTGGCCTTGGTTTCGCCAGGTCAAAAAAAAATACAAAGCTGGTGGTTTCCAGAAATCATCGAAATGTTGGGTTCATCCCAGTGTTCCTGGCAGAAGCAAACAAGCGTGCTTGAGACCAACAAGCAGTCAGCTAGTGGTTCCATATCCCACCATTTTCCCTGACCAAGATTCAATTGGCGCTTAAATCCCCATCAAAAATGGTTGGCTCCCCATGTCTTCTATTTTTTGGATACACAGGTAGATACAAAGGTAATCACAGGTAAATCATGCTAAATCCCCAATTTCGACTGGCTTAAACCATGTGAAACGTCAGTGGTTGGTGGATTCCTGCCTGCCGGGACCAGGAAACGCTCCAGACATTTTCGGAGCAACAATGGCTGTGGCCGTTCCGGGCGGCGAGTTGAACCCTAGGGCCTAGGGATTTTCACATCAAAGTAGCCTGGATTTCTATGGAATTATATAATCCCCCTACAATGGTATAGTTATAGGATTTCGATTCGTAGCCATATGGGATTCGTTTCGTTTTGCCAATACGCTTGATGATTTCTAGATGTTGAAAAACCATCAGAAATATGGGAGGTATAATAAATGATGGTTGGCTGATGATTCTTACCATTTGATTGGGATATGATATGATATAGTATGTGAGATATGATATGATCCTTAAATAGGATACCCATGGATGGATACCCTTCATCCACTGGTTACCAGTTTTGATGCCGTTTTGGGGGGTTGCCCTATCAGATTCCGATCAACCGAAACATTGATTTTCAATGCATCCATATGCTCCATATATGGAATGCTTACTATTGGGGTTTAGCCAAACATCGCCCAAAAGTAATTTCTCACATACATATCTATATACATGTATACATGTATACATATATATATATATACGTAATTCTGTGTATATATATATATGTATATGTATATATATATATGTATGTATATATATATATGTATGTATATATATATGTATGTATGTATATATTTACACATATATATATATAATGTATATTTATACATGTGTAATATATAAACATATATACACACACACCCTACGAATCATAGAATCTTGGGGAGTGCCACGTGGGATCACGTGGGTCATCAGATTCTGTTTTGCGCTTTTGACGAAGAGATGCTTTCCATCTCCGGAAAATGAACCAGTGATGTTTCACCAGCATTTCAGGTGGTTTTAAGTCCCCCATACAGACAAGGATCTAAAAAATACAAAAACCTAAGTTGGATGATTCTGAAATGTTGGGCCTTGGGATAGCCCCAATCCCAACCGTCATTCCAGTGACGTCACCTTGAGGTCACAACATAATTGATCCAGATGATTGAATACTACAAATGCTCATCACTGGGAATCAATAACTATTACCCTAAGGTAAACTAACAGTTCGATGTGGAAAGCCCATGCTGAATCCCTAAGAAGATGATCTACAAGTTTGGTGGGGTTTTCCTCCACATCTGTTTTAGTTTTCAGGATGGTACCAGGCGGATGATTGAACATACAGACCCTGAACGTTTGCCAGAATCCCAATCAGATTTTGGGTCTGATGGAAATTGGCTCCACAAATGACACGAGATTTTTTTGCCCCATTAGCCACAGTACCAGATTTGTGCCATGGTCAAGGTACATGATAAATGCGGTATGGCCATGGCCATTCCTGGATGAAATGGAGAATCCTTAGTGGAAAATTTGCCATGTATAGATATTTTAGTATAGAAACCATTGGTTTTCCACATCGTTTTCTTAATTTACTGGAGGGTGATAAGCGCATTCAATCCTCATTGGTTAGGACTCAGTTGTCCTGTTTCAATATACCCATTCAGTCCATGTGTTGTGATTTAGTTCTCCAAGTTATCCCTCCCAAAATAACCAAACATACAAGTACCCTTTGGTAAATTAACATAGACCTACAAAAATAACACATTTTCAGTGGTTTCACGAATCTTCCAAGCTTGACTCATGGCAGGGTCGCCATGTTAATCTGCCCATTAAGATCATGGGGTTTTCCTGTAAATTTTCCCTTAAACCAATCCATTGATTGAGGGTATCCAATGGCTTCCAAACACCTTGGGTGCCGACGTTTCAAGATCTTGCTGTGCTCATCCATGGTGTCCAAGGACACCCCAAGCACCGCTGAGCGGGCCTCCGCCAGCCAACAAAAACAGCTATGGAACAAACATGGGGGGGTTCACCAATAGAGATTATGAATTCACATGATTTAACCTATCAATATTATAATGTGTGCATATAATTATATATATATATATCAAATTATTTCAGTATGATAGCTACTTAGTATACTAATGTAGACTATAGTAAGGTGAATCAATATGAAGTTCTGCACTGCATTCTCCGATTCCATGGCAAACAACATGTCGCTTTCCTGAGCTGGCCAGGTCACTTCGATTAGGGGTTGCCACGAAAAGAGCAGCTGCATCAGCCATTTTTTATGTCTGGAAAAGAAGTCTATCAAGTCTTCAAAATTTGGTGAGTTGTAATCATAAAACAAGGATAATAAAGGTTCAAACCACTATCAGTCGAGTTGACCTCTGAGGCCCTAGAAGGACTCCAAGCCTTGAGTTTAGAGCGGATAAAGGCAGTGGGGTTCTTCACCGAACTGCCTGTCGCCAATGTAGCCACTCCGGCCAAGCTAAATCAACAAATGGAGCCTTAGGATGGCTTAACAAACAAACATGCTGTGTTTGGAGCACCTTTTCAGGACTAGAAGTGATTTTTGTCATGATTTATTCAAGTCAACTGCGATTATCTGGAAATATCATCAACAAACCTTCACCAGCATTATATACTTTCTCTGTTCGCTCAGTACCCCTCCATCAATACTGATCATCATCGGAGTTGCGCTCGAATATCTTTTCGGGAATGATTCCATACCTCACTTTTGCCGAGTTAGCTTCAAGGTGCATGGTACTGTCACCGGGTAAGTCAAGCTGGTTCAAAAAAAGTGGTCTCAAACATCCCAAACATGTTACAGTGGTGACTTCTGTTTTTCATCAGGCCCAAAATGGAACATCAAACATGCTGGAAAGTACCTACTAGACATGAATACACACAGGGAAAACACAACATTCCACCCATAGCCAGACCCAGTAACCACGGAGAATTTTGGGACGCCGACCATTCTCTCACTACTGGTGGGGGTTAAACCATCTGGCTTTGACTGAACATATCTGAAAATCTTGCCATCGCCCCCCAAATCCGATAGATTATCATCATTTTCCTGTAAAAATAGGCCCAACATGGCCCAACCATTTGGGCAAAACCATCCGACTGGTCTCCTGGTCTCATTGGTATTTTTTCCCGATCTCATGAGCCATCCTATCATGGTTGGTTTCAACAAGCACCATTCTTCTTGGTTAAATCATGTCAAATCCATGTACTAACATGGACACTGCTCAATCCCTCAGGGAGACTGGTACTTAATGTTTTTTGTGGATATAAATATTATACTCCATTGATCAATTAGATATGTTTCCCATCAGAACCTCCATTAATAGGGGATTTCCCATTGCCACGTTTGATTACCAACCAAAGGGTAAATCATGTATATTGATGTCAAATCCACCATTTTTGTAAATCATTCATTTCATATGGACAAACCTATCCGGGTCAGTTCATCTGTGGTCAGGCTTGCTCCCAGCACCCAAAATACAGAGGGAAAACCTTGTCGATAAAGAATAGGGAGGTGACATTACATGGTCCAACCTTTGTGGCTATAATAAAGTCATCCGGCCGTAATAACTCACCAATGAAACTCGGTACAGGGGCTTTATTTCTTCACCATGTCGAATTTGACCCAATGTGGTTGGTGCAACCCTGCCAAGTATTTCTAAAACTTCAACCTCAACTAAGCTACAATCACCATAACCCCAAGTTTTCCCCAGCTTTGTTTCCATTTGTTGCATCAACAAGAAACAAAAACCTCCAACAGTCCCATGTTTTCTCCTCGATTCAGCACATCCTGGAGAAGGTCCAGCGCATCTTCTTCTGGAAGACCTAAGAAATATCGGATGTATATGAAGGTATTTAAAAATGGGTGCTTCCAAAAAAGGACGGTATATTTCATGGAAAAACCCAAACAAAAATGGATGACAACTGGAGGTACCCCCATGGCATAGGAAACCTCCATATGTTCAACAAGAAGAATACTGATGATGCCCGCAGACGTTCGCCCATGCTCACATAATCTCCCATCATTTGTCACGGTTTTCACAGTTATCTCATCTAAATCCACAGGGATTCCTTCCATTTTTTACATATTTTTTATCATTGGTTCCATGATGTCACATTTTTCCCACAATGTACCCTATATTGAATCAAAATCTGAGGCGGTATTATGTTATATTTCCTTCCGTCATATTACATCATTACAGAAGGATATATCTCTGCCACTACGTATACAGGTCTTGGAATGGATATACTATGTTATGTTCTTCCATCATATTATATAATTAAAACATAACAAACATATCTAAATCTGCTACCCCCTCAAAACAATACGTATAAAGGTCTTCTACTGTTATCCAAACTACAAGTGGTGCAAAATGGCTGCTTTCTGCTAGAAAACCTAGGATCCGGGAGAACCAAAAATTTACGTCAAGAACACTTCCACGACTTCATGGAGGTCTGTTGAAAACTCGGGTCGTTTTACCCGGAAAAAAGAAAACATAGACTCCGGGCAAACTTCCGGATCTGTGCGTGATAATGGTAGTAATCATGATCGTACGAATAATGATGATGATGATGATGACGACGACGACGATGATGATCTAAGACTTAGCAAGGTACCCTACCATGAAAAACGGACCAACCCTTAAAATTTGTCATTCCCCAATTCTGGATTGGAGCTGTGAAGCCGGCATATGTGGCAGCATTGGCCCGCCACGCGTGGCAGAGAGAGCTGCCACGCAACACCTACGCACGTGGCAGAGCGTGGCAGCTCTCTCTGCCACGCGTGGCAGTAAAAGGTTTCTAGTGCGGCAGAGGGTGTGGCAGTAATAGGATGTAATAGGTGTTTGCGTGGCAGTGCAAACAGGGCTAGACATTCTGTGTGCCAAAATCTCTAAGTAAATCATGGTAGAGGAATCTGCTAAGACCTAAGACCACCTAAGACCTAAGAGTTTTGGGCCCAATAACTTTTTGACAACTTTTTGGTGGTTGAATTGGTGGTCGAGCCACCCTCCTAAGTCAATGGGGATGACGATCCCGTGTTGGAAGAGTGAGCCGAAGATTTGGAAACACCTCGTCCCTTCCGGGATAGTTTGTGGATGCTTTTAGCTGTAGAATATTAGAATATGGGATTAAGCTCATTGAACTCGATTATAATAATTGGAACATGCCAAGGGACAGATGGCGCCGGTCAATTGGAACATGTTTGTTGGACACGTGGCACCCGTAGATCGTGGAAAGTGAGACGTGGACTCTGGGGACCATTGGCCTCTGAAAAATCCTGGCCCAGTGGCCCAGTGGAAATCATGGAAATCAAACCATGGAAGAGCTTGGATACAATGAGAAAAGGACATTATATATTATAGCAGGGCAATGATGACATTCCCCTGATTTATATTGATTTATGGTAATTAAGCCACTCATCGACCATTGCCCAAGGTTCAGTACAAATTGTATATAAATGTTTGCCAATCATCCCCATGGAACTATCCACACTTCAGGGGTGATTCCCGAGGCAACTGAAGCTACGCACATTTTAAGCGTTGCTTCATATCGGCATCTGTAGTATCTATCACCATTAACCACCATCTACCATCAATTTCTAGTTTGTCAAATCCCAGTATGGTATATCTATCATCTACCGTACCACATTTATCTTTAACCATCTACCATCAATTTCTAGTTTGTATGTCTATCTTTTCCATGATAAATCCCAGTATCTGTTGCTTCAATCCCCTGCGTGTCTCAGCCTTGAGTATCGCAACGAAAACCATCGCTTTCCTATGTTCTAAAATGACCTCTGGAAGTTGGAGAATAACTTGGGGTTGCCCATGTCTGCTATATACCAATATAATAAAATCATGAAAATCTCTTGAAATCCACAAATGGATGATTGGCTTTATACCCCCAGACCCTTTCCAAGGAACCTCCAACTATCCTCATACTATACATACAGAGATATGCATTCATCCTCGAGTTGATAGAATAGTGATATTTCAAGACAACTCACCAAAATGAGACCGTTTTTGGAAAAACATATTCTACGCCTACTTCAGGAGGATCATACATATATAGCCATCCCCAAATAGATATACGCTGGTAAAAAAAAAAACGAACCTAAAACGTGATGCATATTCCTTTTCTATTTCAGTAGGATTTTACTGTGGCAACTAGTGATATATGTGTATAATATATATATATATGTTACTTCTCTATAGGACATAGTGAACCCCACTAGAACAGTGCAATAGTACCAAGTTCTGGAGACAGCTATAAAACTCCTTCCTTTGTAGCATCCTTAGATTATCAAAATAGGTATTGACTGGTGAGAACAATGTGTCTATGGTCTATTATATTATCACAACCTATTTTGTTACTACAAACATATTACAGTACTAATTTAGATGTATACTACTATTATTAGTGTGGTCTTACTATCATCTAATAAAATATTACATCACCTTTCATTACATTAGATTACACGACATTACATTTTATTTTTTACTTCTGGATATTATGTAATACTTTATTATGCTCTTACTATTATTGCATTACTATCATCAAGACCATAATAAGGTGGTCTGGGTAAAGTAATGTATGTAATATACCAAGACCATAATGACGTAATATACTAAGACCATCATTACCATATAGGTCCAAAAACATGCATTGTCAAGAAGGTGATCTGGGCCGCTGGCGCTCCAATCCTCCTTTCACCTCTGCCACTTGAATCGGTGCCAACAACCTGGCTGCTGCTGTCGCTTTTTGTGGAGTTCACCAAGCATTTTATCCGGGAATATCATCGGGATATCATGGTATATAATGGGCTATAATGATATGTATATATATATATGTAATGGGATATCATTCATGGAAATAGGATGATACATATATGTGTATATAGAACGGGGATATAAGAACCACTATCAACTAATTCCGTGTTTGGGTGTGTCTCAAAAGTCTGGCCAACTTTTTTTCAGTTGTTAATCGCAAATTTAAGTCCCATTGGGAAAAATGATGATTAACCATTATGACAAGGACATTATTGGATATAATGAGGGTGAGTCTGAAATGGGGTGTTTAGCAAACCATCATTATATACCGGGATATATTTCTTTCGATTTATTTTGACATAATGGGATGTAGAAGTAACCATCCGACGGTGATGTGTCTGAAAATGCGGTCTACGCTTAAGTTACGGGCATTACGTCAAAACTTGTACTCTTTTTGAGCTCATAGGTTTTAAACCATCCCCATTTACAAAATATACTGTATATACTGGTAGCGATAATGATCAGTAATCAAGAGCAAGAACTACATTTATGTACATGTGAGCAGTGTTCAAACTATTTCAACATCCCCTGACATCCCTTTATAATGGTTGGTAAGGTTCCCCTGAAGGGTCAGATTAGATCATAATCCCCAACTGTCCATTGGTCGCTTTCAATGGTGGTTGATAATCCTGCATTCTTCGGCATTACTTTGTTGGGGGGGTTGGCCTTTGAGTCGATCTGAATCTGGACCACTTTGGTATGTACCTTTTTTGTTGCGGCATAAGGCTATTGCAAAGCATCAACTAATGCACTGGGTCTTGAGGCCAGGCAGCAATTTCATTTCTACTGAACAATCCATGGCTAATTCGTGTCCCAGGAAGTGCCGTGGCAGGGAAGAACGACGTTGCGGTTCTAAGTGTCAGCATGTTTTGGTGATTTGCAGCATCTATCTATCTATCTATCTGTCTGTCTGTCTATCTATCTGTCTGTCTGTCTATCTATCTGTCTATCTGTCTATCTAACTATCTATCTGTCTGTCTATCTATCTATCTATCTATCCGTCGGTCTGTCTGTCGGTCTGTCTATCTGTCTGTCTGTCTGTCTGTATGTGTCCGTCTGTCTATCTATCTATCTGTCTGTCTGTCTATCTATCTATCTGTCTGTCTGTCTATCTATCTATTTATCTATCTATCTATCTATCTGTCTGTCTGTCTGTCTATTTAACTATCTATTTATCTATCTATCTATTCACCCGTTTCTAATTTGTATATTAATATATATATATAATATATACAAACATACATACATGCAATTCTAAACATACATTAGTTACCTATCTATCCAAACAACAAATACCCATATAATCAATATTGGTATGGATAATAAATATGCAAAACTTTTGCTTCTCTATCGTACCCAAAAACAGAGGTGGTGAAATGTTCCATGTCACTCCATTTCAGAATTAAATCCCACCATCAAAAAAATCACCACTCGAAACTTTGATCATCATGTCAACGTGTTTTTCCTGAGAATAGAACAACGTCCTACTTAAAGCAACCATTTTGGGGGTATACATGGTGATGGGTCAATACCCCAGTGCATTAGTGAACATCAAAAATGCCTGGTAAATGGATGGTACTCCGCACACGCACCCACCGCCCGAGTCACCGTCCGGAGGTGTTCAACTCGGTCAGTTTGTCTTCCACGGCATCGTCATCCTGGCTCCGTTCCCTGGTTAGGAAAAAACTACTGAAGTCCAAAAAATGTTTGATAATGATTTAATGAACAGATAATAATGATTTAATGTACATTTTTGTATGCGTGTTTTGCGTTCTCCGTCACCTTCGAGCCCTGCACAGGAAAGCTGCAGGGTTTTCAAGATCAAATTTATTGGGGTTCCGCCAAAAAAAAAACAAGAACTGAAAACAATCCAGCTGAGGTTTTCCTGAGACTTCTACTTCTACATATTCTACTAGAAACCTTCCTGACATACCACATGTTGAAGGTATTATGATGGATTGTGTAAGGTTATGTAACCATGTTAACATTAGATTCAAAGATACTCCGCTTTACCGTTTCTGTAATTCTTGGGATTCCTGAATGAAAACAGCAAAATAAACAAATCAAAGCTACCACTGGCCAATGAACCCAACACACCTACAGGGTATAAATAGTAAATAAAACCTCCCTAAATTATACATGATCTTTCGACCTAGATTAAATCTCTGTATATGCTATATATATATAGAAATATATGTGTTAAAAATGTATATATATATATGTTATATATATATTTATATATGTGTGATGTCTATATATATATATATTACATAAACATGTTATACATATATATATATATGTGTTTATATATATATGTTCAATATATGATAAATACATATGTAATATATTTATATAAGCCAATATCTTATGTAAATATTATATATATATTAAAAATAATAAACATAATGTGATATATATCAATACATACATGTTATATATGTTCTATGTATATATATATGTGTGTTCTATCAATGTATATATTATATATATGTTATGTTAAACAGGTATTCTACATGTTATATATATATATGTTCTTTTAACTACATATATATATATACACACTGTATATATATACATATGCTATGCTATATATGTATTATACGTTATACATGTTATATATGTTATATATGTTATATATGTTATATATGTTATATATGTTATATATGTTATATATGTTATATATGCTACAAATGTTATATATGTTATATATGTTACAAATGTTATATATGTTATATATGTTATAATGTTATATATATATGAGTTGTTTTAATATATATATATATATGTTATATATATATGTTAAATATACGCATATAAATGTTGTATATATATATATATGTATTATATACATACAATACATGTTATATATGTTAAATATAATTATATTTATATATATATATATATATTTGTTTTATATACAGAAAAACAGATCCTGTAGGTGTCGACTGTATTCAGAGGACCACCCTCAAAGCTCCCGGGAGGTTGGCTCCAGAACAGGGAAAGAACTCGCCTCCTCCATCGCATCGCTTCCCACCTAACCAGGAGAATCACGGGATGAACAAAACTCTGTGAAAAATGGGTGGATACCATTGGATACCCAAAGATGGCCCTTTTTGAATGCGGAATTGTAGGGGAAATGATGATTGACCTTCAAATTTTTGGGATATCCTGTTTTCAGTCGAAGCATTTTATGTCTCCAGCACTTCTGGAGAATCATATGGCGGTGGAGCCACTCATCATACGGGATTCATCTGGAATCAGTAGGAATGTTGGTAGTTTGTTGCTTGAACAAACTTATACAATTTAGAACAATTTGGACCGTTGCTATAGTAATATGTTGCGGTGAAACGACCAAGAATCATAGTGATACCAAGCAAGAATGAATTATTTGATGGTTGTTCCACCCCTGAAAAAAATCGACGCATGTTTGAGGATGAAACGTAAGCATATCATACATTGATGTGACAAAATTAAACTTTGACATTTCTATCAGATTCTATCGACATCATTGCTCCTTGCACCATGTCGACCTCTCAGCAGGTGGTCTCAACACAGATCTAATCTTACACCTACACTCAGACTTGAGCGTTTGAAACCATGCAGACTGTATATCTATACAATATATATATATACTATATAAATATAATACATGTATATATTCTATATATATAACACACATATATGTGCTCTATGTAAATAATATATGCTATAGTTGTAGCTATAGTTATAGCTATATATGTCTATAAAGAAAATATACACTAACAGTGTACATATATTATCATTATATATATAATGTAAGTAATATCATATAACATATCGATATAATAAATATAATAAAACATAATATCATATAATACAATATCATATACCATATCTACATAGTATATCTATAAAATAAAAACAGATATCAAATTATACCATATAATATAATATCAAATAATATCATATAATATAGTAGTATGTAAAACCATACCATATAAAAACATAAAATATAATATCATAAAATATATTATCATATATTGTACCATGTATTTAAATAATATAACATAATATCATATAATATAATATCATACAATAAAACATATATATATATATAACAATATCATATAATATCACATAATAACATATATGTATAACATATACAGAAATGTAATATCAAATAATATCATATAATATATATATAACATAAACCAACATATAATTTAATATAATATAATATATAATAATACAATACAAATAATGCAATGTGATATAATATAACATAATATAATAAAGATGGTGTGTGAAAGAGAGGGTGTGACAAAGTTGTGTGTGACAAAATTGTGTGTGAAAGATGGTGGGGTGAAAGATAGTGTGTGTGAAATTGGTGTGTCAAAGATGGTGTGTGAAAGATGGTGGGTGACAAAGTGGTATGTAAAAGATAGTGTGTCAAAGTGGTGTGTGCCGGAGGTGGAGGAGGCGGCGGAGGAGGAGGAGGCGGGATACAGAATCAAAAACAAGAACCCCACACAAAGATGTGGTAAAAAAATAAAATATTTATATCTATAATACATAAAATAGAGTAATATCATATCATATAAACATCATATCATATCATAAAAATATCTATACTATAATATCTATTTCATATAGTGTAATGTATTTCTTGTAAACAAACCACACCGCCCTTCTCCCCCACCTCTTCCACCGCCCTCTTGATCCAATCCGTCGGGTCCGAGACCTTCGGCGTCAGCGTCAGCGTGCAACAAACGTGGCGCACGCCGGGAAAATCATGGGAATCATGGGGGAATCATGGGGAATCCCATGGAAAAAATATAGGATTTCCATGGGGAATCATATAAAACATAGAAATCCATGGAAATCATAAATGGAAGTTTAGAGCTGGGAAAATTATCTGCAAATGGAAGTTTGTAGATTTTTTTTTTTTAATCCCTATTGAAAAGTAGTGAAATCGGTTAAAACACTGATAACTGACTCGAATTGATGCTTTTTGGGGTGAACAAAAATACAAGAAAAAACACCCCTAGATAGGTAAGTAAGTTGGTTTATGACTGGGCAAACTGGGATTGTATATTGCTGGCTATAAATTATATCTACCAGCACAGTTGGGCAGGTTTAAGAACCAATTTGTAGTTGGGGGGGTCATCTTGGTTTTGGGTATGAGTCAAAACTGTGAACATTCAGAACCGCCTGCAATGTTTGGGGTGAATATCAATTCAACAAGTCTTCTGCAAATGGATATGTTCCATTGACGTGCCAGATGCCCTCTGTCAAAGCATATATATATATTGTATATAAATATATATATACACAATATATATATATATATATATACAAATATATATATATATATATATCTATTGTATACACAACAAAAGGATACAAAAGGCACTTGAGTTTTCCACATTGGTCACCCTGCATTAGAAAAAACGTTCATCCCAAACGTCGCTTTTGGGTCGCAGCGGGACGCAGCTTGAATCAGCTTGGCATCCCAGTAAAAGTTCACATTGGAGCAGGGCTTCAAAGAAACATTACGTCCGAAACAGTTTTTAATCAACCAGATAGATTAGGTAGATTAGATAGATTAGATAAATTAGATCGATTAGATCGATTAGATCGATTAGATCGATTAGATCGATTAGATGGATTAGATCGATTAGATAGATTAGATAGATTAGATGGATTAGATAGATTAGATCGATTAGATCGATTAGATAGATTAGATAGATTAGATGGATTAGATAGATTAGATAGATTAGATAGATTAGATAGATTAGATAGATTAGATAGATTAGATTAGATAGATTAGATAGATTAGATAGATTAGATCGATTAGATCGATTAGATAGATTAGATAGATTAGATAGATTAGATAGATTAGATCGATTAGATAGATTAGATCGATTAGATCGATTAGATCGATTAGATCGATTAGATAGATTAGATCGATTAGATCGATTAGATCGATTAGATCGATTAGATGGATTAGATGGATTAGATGGATTAGATCGATTAGATCGATTAGATCGATTAGATAGATTAGATGGATTAGATAGATTAGAGAGATTAGATAGATTAGATAGATTAGATGGATTAGATAGATTAGATAGATTAGATAGATTAGATAGATTAGATAGATTAGATAGATTAGATTAGATAGATTAGATAGATTAGATCGATTAGATCGATTAGATAGATTAGATAGATTAGATAGATTAGATCAATTAGATCGATTAGATCGATTAGATAGATTACCCTATAGGTCAGGCAAGGTTATTTGGAGCAAAATAGGTAACTCTAAAAAAAATACCTTTTTGAAGATAATTTTGGTCGATTTTTTTAACTATTAGTTAAAAAAAATTACCTTTGAAGGTAATTATTGAGAACCTTTTTCAAGGTAATTTTTAAGGGTTATGTTTTTTTCACTTCGTTTTTACATATATATATTTATTTATTTTCTTTTGTTATATGGTATGTGTCTGATGTTCTCTTGGGGTTACTATATACGTGCTGCTGACATATGTGCATGGGTTTATTTCATGTATTTTGACAGGGTCTCATGTTTTTCCCTTGGCACTTGGATTGGATCAAATGATTTGATCATGGGTAGTGTTTGTGTCACTGACAAAATTTATGAAACAACAGCATGGCAAAAATGAGGAAAAGTCAGAAAAGGCATGAAACAAGATTATGGCAATAATGAACCAGTCATACTTGGCAATGAAGCATTGTCCAAGCATGCATTCTGTCTTTGAAAGCTCAGTGAGGGCATCCTTCAAAGTATCATTGATTTTTGGTCTTTCTTGTCTCTACCCAGTCGCTCCTGAACCACTTTGGTTTCTTTGATGTCATGCTGCACACTTGCCCAGCTCAGTTTAACAGGAGCATCAGAAATCGCTTTTGGCAATGCTGAGGATGAAGTAACCACAGCTGGTGTAGAGGAAGCACTGCTACCACTACCACAACCACCACTACCACCACAACTAGCTCCAGTGCCAAACTGGCTCCAGGGCCTGCTCGACATGAATTGACTCACCTGCGAACTCTCATCCTTGGTGAGGTTGGCTTGGCCACCATGCAAGACCATGGCAGGGAACAATGGCTGTGGCTATTGTCTTGACATGATAGTAACCATCTTTCTGATAGACATCACCTCGTCTTTCTGCATCATTCAAAGCTTGCTGGTTTCCCTGGATTTTGTCCACAACCTAAGCCAACCCAGTAATCTGAGATTTGTTGCAATCTCAGAGTTCTTCTTGAAAACTTCGAACACTGGGTATTTCCAGGAGCAAACACAGACTCGCCTCTGGTGTTCAAGAGAATTCTTGGAGCCCTCTTCTTCATAGAGCTGCTGAAGATCTTCTGGCACCTGGCCACTTTTGATCATTCTGGCACATTTCCTTACCTTGGGGTAGCTTCGATGCTCATCATCAGCAACTGTTGCATCCTCCTCTTTAGGCTCTTCATCTTCTCCTTCTGCATGGTCATCAGGAACTGGCTCATCCCTGGTCTTCTTCCATCCTGCTGCCATCTCCTTGACAGTCTTCGCTTTGGCCTTGGCTTTCGCCTTCAGCTGCATCAGGTCTTGTCAGGATTTTTTTCATTGTGCTCTTGGCTTTTGCCTTTTGAGCTTTCATTGGCGTAGAAGTAACCCCAGGAGCTTTGCTGGCAGCAGCCTTGGCTTTACCTGTTGCCTTTGCCTTGACTTTAGATTTTGCTTTCACCTAGGCTTTGGCCTTTGCCTTTGGTGCTGCAGTATCTAAGAATCTAAGTCAGCTCATGGGGCAGTTTCTTCTGGAGAAGCCTGTTCTACAGATTCTGGTGCTGGTTCAGGTGGAGGCAACATGCAAGCATAGCATCAGGTGGACAAGCAGGCCTCTTCATGAGGTTACCAACAGGGGCGACAAGTGACAAGTAACTTCAATCTTGAGCACCAGTGTGCTACACAGATGGTATATGCAATTGGGGATGTCTCAAAATAGGGGGCCCCAAGCCCTTGTTTTTTAGTGTGCAAAACAGAGCTTTGGGGCACTCCTATTTTGAGACATCCCTAAGTGTACACTTGACGTAAATTCCAGCCTTTCACCAAAAGTAACTCCATGAAGAACATGTTTTGCCCATGATGATGTCAGAAAAACTTACAACAGAAATACCAAAGACCTTGTGAATGTATCAATCAACAAATGTGATATCTATACTTCACAATGGATGTTGCATGGCTTTTTCATTTTCATTGAACAAAACTTAAAAAAGTAGAACTGGATATGTCTCAAAACGTCTGAAAATTGGTTCCCGAAACCGAAGCCTAACATGTTCAAAAACTGGTTCCACAATGGTACCTAGGAAAATGAAAGGTGCTTTAAGCCATCTTAAGGTACCTTTCATTTTTTGGAAAATATAACATTAAAAACATAGAAATGGAGATGTCTCAAAATGTCTAGAGCAATTATTTTATTGCAATTTCAGTATTGTACATATCTTGTTTGTTTTGTTATTTATGTGCTGCTCTTGTCCTATGATTATTTTGATGAAACTCTAAGACGTAATGTGCCTAAATATCACTGTCTATATATATATATATGTATGCATTAATACGCATGTATTCAGGTGGTGTGGTGTTATTAGTCATTAGTTGGCTTGGGGTTACAGTTTTGCAAACCACGCCCATTGCATGCCAACCAACCCTATAAGGTACCTTGTAAAATGAAAGGTGCTTTTTGCAAAATAAAACAAAAAATAAAAATGGGAATGTCTCAAAAATGTCTAGTGCAAATATCTGATTATAGTTTATGTATTGTACATGTGTTTTTTCTTTTCTTATTTATGTATGTTCACCTAATGTAATTGCTCTTGCCCTATGTTTTTTTGATGACACTTTAAGGCATAATGTGACATAATGTACCCACATACTAATGTGGAGGTATATGTGTATTCATGTGGTGTGGGGTTATTATTTGGCTTGGGGCTACTGTTTTCAAACAAAACCCATTGCATGCCAACCAACCCTATTAGGTACTTTGTAAAATAAAACGGTGCTTTAAGCCCCGCTAAGGCACCTTTTCATTTTTGGGAAAAATACACCTTTTCATTTTTGGGAAAAATAAAGCAAATAAACATATAGATGTCGCAAAATGTCTAAGGCAAATGTTTGATTACAATTTCAGTATTGTACATGTGTTTGTTGGTGTTTTTTTAAAATGTATGTTCACCTAATTTAGTTCCTCTTGTCCTAGGATTTTTTTGATGCAACTTCAAGACATCATGTACCCAAATACTGATGTGGAGGTACATATGTATATATGTGTGTATTCATTTGGTGTGGGGTTATAATTTGGTTTGGGGTTACTGCATTGCAAACCAAAACCATTGCATGACAACCAACCAATGTTTGGGGTTTCTATTTTGGAAACACACAGCATTCAATCAAACACAAACCATGGTTGGTACTACATGTTTATCTAAACACCAGGCAACAATAACCTTCGTTTTTTATTTGATTTTTTTAAATGAGAAAAACACTTACAAAGAATAGTAATCCATATTTGGGTTTACTTCTTTTAAAATGATCCCAACAATAGATCCCTATGTTGTTTTTTTCAACCAGTAACATACATGAAACCTATTTAAAAAAAATGAAATGAAAAACTCATTTTTTTGAAACAAACAAACATGGTTTTCAAGAAAATAAACACTATTTTTTAAAAGAAAAACAAGTTTTCTCTATATTTTTTGTTTACTGCCCTGAAAGTTTGTTGAAAGTTTGTTGCAAACTTTCAGTCAAACTTTCAGGGAGGGTTGCAAGTTTGACTGAAACTTTCAATGCAAACTTGCAGGGCTGGATTGAAAGTTTCAATGCAAACTTTCAAGGCTGGATTGAAAGTTTAAAGAAACTTGCAGGGCTACACTGAAAGTTTCTTGCAACCCCCCCTGAAAGTTTGACTGAAAGTTTGCAACAAACTTTCAACAAACTTTCAGGGCAGTAAACAAAAAATATAGAGAAAACTTGTTTTTTCTTAAAAAAAATAGTGTTTATTTTCTTGAAAACCATGTTTGTTTGTTTCAAAAAAATGAGTTTTTCATTTCATTTTTTTTAAATAGGTTTCATGTATGTTACTGGTTGAAAAAAAACAACATAGGGATCTATTGCTGGGATCATTTTAAAAGAAGTAACCCCAAATATGGATTACTATTCTTTGTAAGTGTTTTTCTCATTAAAAAAACCAAACAGTGGTTGTTTATTGTGCAAATTGTTTTGGCATGTTACACCCACCATGTCTAAATGTGTTTTAAAAAGTAACCCAAAACATGGTTTGGTTGTCATGCATTGGTTTTGGTTTGCAATGCAGTAACCCCAAACCAAATTATAACCCCACACCAAATGAATACACATATATAGATATATATATCCACAGTAGTATTTGGGTACATTATATATTGAAGTTGCATCAAAAAATCCTAGGACAAGAGCAACTACATTAGGTGAACATACATAAATAATACATCAACAAACACATGTACAATACTGAAACTGTAATCAAACATTTGCCTTAGGCATTTTGAGACATCTATATGTCTATTTGTTTTGTGATTTCCCAAAAAAATGAAAAGGTACCTTAAGGGGGCTTAAAGCACCTTTTTATTTTACAAAGTACCTAATAGGGTTGGTTGGCATGCAATGGGTTTTGTTTGAAAACAGTAGCCCCAAGCCAAATAATAACCCCACACCAAATAAATACACATATACCTCCACATTAGTATGTGGGTACATTATGTCACATTATGTCTTAAAGTGTCATCAAAAAAACATAGGGCAAGAGCAATTACATTAGGTGAACATACATAAATAAGAAAAGAAAAAACACATGTACAATACAGAAACTATAATCAAATATTTTCATTACACATTTTTGGGGCATTCCCATTTTTATTTTTTGTTTTATTTTGCTAAAAATAAAAAAGGTACCTTAAGGGGGGTTTAAAGCACCTTTCATTTTACAAAGTACCTAATAGGGTTGGTTGGCATGCAATGGGTTTGGTTTGCAAAACTGTAACCCCAAGCCAACCAATAACACCACACCAAATGAATACACATATATCTCTACATTAGTATTTGGGTACATTATGCCTTAAAGTTTCAAAAAAAACCTAGGACAAGAGCAATTACATTAGGTGAACATACATAAATAAAACAAAAAGCCACATGTACAATACTGAAACTGTAATATGTTTTTTTTGCCACATATACCACCACTGATTATTGATTGAATATATATATATATACATACTGTGTATATATATATATACTATTTATTTGTTCATTTATTGTTTTTTGTTATTCATTCTTTATATATATATATATATGTTTTATTTTTCTAATTATATATTTGTTTATCTTGTTAATGTTTTTGAACACGAACCACTTCTTAAAGTCGCAGCATATCTTTAAGTATTGTTTTCCATTATTGCATGCATAGGACAAATATTCATTTCACAAAAACATATTACCATCCAAAAATAAGAAAACCTCATGCAGCACCTTTTGTGAATGATAAATAGCACAATGGTTGGTTGATACATGCAGGAAGTCTTTGGTATGTGGGCTACTTTTTTGGTGAAAGGTTGGAAAATATGTCAAGTGTACAAGTGCATTTACCATCCATGTAGCACACTGGTGCTCAAGATTGAAGTTACTTGTCACTTGTCGCCCCTGTTGGTAACCTGATGCTATGCTTGCTTTTTGCCTCCACCTGAACCAGCACCAGAATCTGTAGCACAGGCTTCTCCAGAAGAAGCTGCCCCACGAGCTGACTTAGATTCTTAGATACTGCAGCACCCAAGGCAAAGCCAAAGCCAAGGTGAAAGCAAAATCTAAAGTCAAGGCAAAGGCAGCAGGTAAAGCCAAGGCTGCTGCCAGCAAAGCTCCTGGGGTTACTTCTTCGCCAATGAAAGCTCAAAAGGCAAAAGCCAAGAGCACAATGAAGAAAATCCTGAAAAGACCTGATGCAGCTGAAGGCGAAAGCCAAGGCCAAAGCGAAGACTGCCAAGGAGATGGCAGCAGGATGGAAGAAGACCAGGGATGAGCCAGTTCCTGATGACCATGCAGAAGCAGAAGATGAGGAGCCTAAAGAGGAGGATGCAACAGTTGCTGATGATGAGCATCGAAGCTACCCCAAGGTAAGGAAATGTGCCAGAATGATCAAAAGTGGTCAGGTGCCAGAAGATCTTCAGCAGCTCTATGAAGAGGGCTCCAAGAATTCTCCTCCCCCAAGGTTATTTAAGAGTCAATTCATCAACAAAGTCTTTCAGCAGAACACCAGTGGCGAGTTTGCTTTTGCTCCTGGAAATACCCAGTGCGAGGTTTTCAAGAAGAACTTTGAGATTTGCACCAACAAATCTCAGGTTACTGGGTTGCCTCACTCCATCATGTCGTGGAAAAAATCCAGTGAAACCAGCAAGCTTTGAATGAGCAGAAAGACGAGGTGATGTCTATCAGAAAGATGGTTACTATCATGTCAGGACAATAGCCACAGCCATTGAGAAGAAGCAGGGCAGTTCCATGGTCTTGCATCACCAAGGATGAGTTATTCGCAGATGAGTCAATTCATGTCGAGCAGGCCCTGGAGCCAGCTTGGCACTGGAGCTAGTTGTGGTGGTAGTGGTAGTGGTAGTTGTGGTAGTGGTAGCAGTGCTTCCTCTACACCAGCTGTGGTTACTTCATCCTCAGCATTGCCAAAAGCGATTTGTGATGCTCCTGTGAAACTGAGCAGGGCAAGTGCTCCCAGGAGCGACTGGGCAGAGATTGTCAAAGACCGGCTGTCAAAATCTTTTTTTTTGACAAGAAAGACCAAAAACTCAGTTATACTTTGATGGATGTCCTCACCGAGCTTTCAAAGACAGAATGTATGCTTGGGGTTACTTCATTGTAGCTTTGATGTTGTATAACATATCTTCAAAACATCCAATCAGATTTGATCTTCACAAATAAAAACTTTGATTTGCTCAAACAAGTATAAGTTCAAACAATATAGTTTTTTGCACTTCCAGTAATCATGTAGGACTGACTTCACACAAAATCAAGAAACATATTGTTAAAATACCTTTCAAGCAATTGATAATGTTCACTTTGCTATGGTGCAATGTTAAGAAAATGTCGAAATTCATTATCTTTTTTCCATGCAAAAAATGCAAAATTTCAAGGTAAATTTTGAAGGTATTTTTTTAAACCCCAAAAATTACCTTGAAATGGACCCTTAAAAATTAACTATGTAGTTAAAAAAAATTAACTATTTTTGTTTCCTTAAAAATAAACTATTAGTTAGAAAATTGCCTCCAAAATCACTTTTACCTATTTTGCTCCAAATAACCTTGCCTGACCTATAGGGTAGATAGATTAGATAAATTAGATCGATTAGATCGATTAGATCGATTGGATCGATTAGATCGATTAGATGGATTAGATCGATTAGATAGATTAGATAGATTAGATAGATTAGATGGATTAGATAGATTAGATAGATTAGATAGATTAGATAGATTAGATCGATTAGATAGATTAGATAGATTAGATCGATTAGATAGATTAGATAGATTAGATAGATTAGATCGATTAGATCGATTAGATCGATTAGATCGATTAGATCGATTAGATCGATTAGATCGATTAGATCGATTAGATCGATTAGATCGATTAGATAGATTAGATCGATTAGATAGATTAGATAAATTAGATAGATTAGATAGATTAGATCGATTAGATAGATTAGATCGATTAGATAGATTAGATAAATTAGATAGATTAGATAGATTGGATAGATTAGATAGATTAGATCGATTAGATCGATTAGATCGATTAGATCGATTAGATCGATTAGATAGATTAGATAGATTAGATCGATTAGATAGATTAGATCGATTAGATAGACTAGATAGATTAGATAGATTAGATAGATTAGATAGATTAGATAGATTAGATCGATTAGATCGATTAGATCGATTAGATAGATTAGATCGATTAGATAGATTAGATAGATTAGATAGATTAGATAGATTAGATAGATTAGATAGACTAGATAGATTAGATCGATTAGATAGATTAGATAGATTAGATAGATTAGATAGATTAGATTTAGATAGATTTAAATCTTCCTCATCTCTGGCCACAAGTGCCATGGTCACCCTGCCTTCGTCCCGTGCATCTCCAACTCTCTCAAGAGGCCCATAGCATGTGGCACCTTTACAGGGAGACCGCAGATTTTTTCGGATTGTCAATGTGTTTTCCAGCAATCACCATAAATGGGTGCCCATAGGATCCATGTATGCTATATACGGTGACATTTACCATCAATAAACCCCAAATGTTAGCATATATACCAGCACCGTGGATCCTATGGGGTGGTATAAACCATCAAAATCCGGGTGGTTTATGGCATTATTTTACGAACATTTGCACCCACGTAGGCTGATGGGTCAACACCGAAGCTGAGCCATCACCGTCTGCAATCCTCAACCAACCAGCTTGATGCCCTTAGCGGCCTGTTGACCTGTTGAACCGATTGGATCATGTTTTTTTCCAAATCCCAAATATACCATCTGGTAAACAAACATAGCTATTGAAAATGGCCCTAGAAATAGTGGATTTACCCATTGAACATGGTGATTTTCCATAGTTATGTTTGTTTACCAGAGGGTATCCATCAGCCATGATTCAGGGGTTACTTCTCACTTTCATGCGTTTCCATCTTTTGGTTGGGTGATATCCCATTCTGAGAGAAACCCCAAACAGCCGTGCGAAGCCGTGCTTGGGGTCCAAGTTCTTGAACCCCGACAGATCATGGAGATCCTGAAGAGGGTATAACCCCCTAGTGAAATCCATTGAAGCCTGATTTTCCATGCAGAATCATTTGAATCTATCTTACATCATCACCACGGATCAGATCCGAACTGCGACTCGGCCACTTTCAAAGTATCCAGCGGCTCGGCCACTTCAGCGAAGTTGATCTGCTGCGACAAGTGTCCAAACCTGCGAAGTTGCTGGGTGGTCCAAGTTCCTGGAGGGACCCCGAGGGAAACTTACCCAGATATGGAACATCCATGGTTTCCCAATGGGAAATGATCAATGAATGGTGGATTTTCCAGAAGTCTCAGGAACTTTGAGAGTTAATATATCAAATATATCAAATATGTCAACTAACTTGCAACTACGATTACCATTCACAAAGATCAAATTATGGAATCCTTCAGCCTGTTGGCTCTTTTATGGGCTCACAAAAATGGTGGTGGCTAACTAACATCGCCGTAAGGGGTGCCATGGGCTCCCGCACTTGTTGAGCCATGCCACCCGTTTGGCCACCTGGAGGGGTCACCCTGCAGGCGTTCCATGAACGAATTCCATAATTTATGGGAATATTCCCTTTAGTCCCAGATGATCATTCTAATTTATGGCCATAGAATTTTGAATACGAATTCCATAATATTCCCTTTAGTCCCAGATGATCATTCGAAAATCTTCATCTTGTTTGTCGTATTCAAATAGAACCATCTGAGGGTATTCACCATTGACACCCGAAGGTATACGGTGAATATTTCGAATTACTGGTGTCATTAAACAAATCTATCACATTAGATTTTCCAAACTGTGGACTGAAAGGAAAGTACGTAAATCATGGCGACTCCAAGTATAACTTCAGAGTATCATGTATTGTATATATATACACAGTATAATGATATACATATATATATATATATTAGTATGTTTGCTGAGGTTTGTTACTCATCTGAGTGAACCTCGGGGGTTCCAAAACCTTGTCTGCTTTTTGGGCCAACTTCAGTGCCACGTACAAATCAAGGTCATGATCCTGATGATCATCAAACTGTTTAAGGACAGCAAAAACATGGAAAACACATTTATTTGAAACCATGAGTTAGAATGTGAAATTGAAGTTGGATATGTGCTGTTTCCCTATCTTTTGATCTCTTTCTGCGAGCATGCCCAAGCATTGCCCATCAGGATCTGTCTGGCCAAAAAATCCATGCAGATCCATCAAAACTGGGTTAACCATGGTCACCCTCTGGTGATTTAACATAGCTATGCAATCTATGGCAATCTAACATAGCTATGGCAGCTATGGAAAAACACGAGTTCCAATCGGTAAATCATCATAAAATTCATAAATCATCTTCTATACATGGGGTATTTATGGTTATTTTCCATAGCTATGTTCGTTCACTGGATGATAACCACTATTTATGTTCGCCCCATGGCGCCAGAATCCCCCACCTTCGTGTCATCATCGAGCTCCTCCGGGAGATCCCTGGGAAAATCCAAAAATCCGCCAGGGAAAGGGAGCCAGGCTGGGTACATCTGGTTACTTTAACTATTTCTACCAAAAATAGCCTCTATAGTGAGGCCATGGCTATGACTCTGATGAAGATTTCGCTTGGTTTGGTGATGTGTGATGTCTGTACTTGATTGAAAATCGATGTAAAATGATGTAATAGCCATGCTGGACATTACCCGGAAACACGGGATGATTGTGTGGGTTGATGGAACATGTCAAAACATAGGCCGTTGAAGCAACAAATCTTGGGGTACTTTCCTTGCAGGTATGCTAACCAAGCAACACTGCTACACAAATATTTCATGGCGGTCGTCAACAACAAACATCAAGCCATCCCCTATGCGAAATGAAGTGAAACAGGAATGCTACGCATGCCGACTGGTATCCCAATTTAACGAGTTTTCCTACTGTTCTTGCGACATACGGATATAACCTGCCATATCAAGCACCAAGAAATCCAGGACATCCTAGGGATCCCTGGGCATCCCTAGGCATCCCTAGGCATCCCTACTGTCTCTGCAACAAACAACTACTTTGGTACCTTTTTTGCACGTTACGTCAACCTATGCCAACATCCCAGTGAGTACCTCCCCGCTATATCATCCCTTCAATGGGTCTGGCCGGGTGCCTCAACAGCTCATGCTCTTCAGTCTTCTCCACCGGACGGGGAGTTCTTCCACGCCCCTTTCCCTTTCTGCGCAGTCGGCGCACAGCGCCCTTTCTGCGGCCAGGGGCGACCATTCCGCGGCCTGCCACGTAGGGGAAAGCAGGATCAAACCTGGGTTATATAATGGAGGTTTCCTAAACTGGGGGTTTCCTAAAGGGAGAAACCTCCATTATATAACCATTCAAGATGTTGCAGGCCTTTTCAGAAGGGACACTCATTTCAAACGCCCAAACGAAACTGGAAGGTGTCTCGGTTGTCTTCATACAGCGAGTGGCAACAGTTACGATAGCGAATCTTCATGTCCCAGATTGACATGGTGAACCCATTATTGGTCTTCGAGAGGTCCCAATCAAAAGATAGTCGTTCCTAACTGTTTTGATGGCGATTTACTTTTTGAGATGTCTTGCTTCGTCTTACATATATGGGTATGGGTCAAAATTAGGTACCCCAATAATTGGATGGTTAATACTAAACTAGACTAACATCTGTGGTCACCTAGGTCTTCCATTTTGACCCACATCCATGTGTATATTATACTATATTATATACATAGGCTTCATCTTCTTGGAAAGCCTTCGAAGAGTCTGTCAGCAGTGCCTGCGGGGTCTTCATCCCAGCATAGGCCCGTGGGTGCAATGAACCATGAAAGGAAGTTCAATAAGAATGTTACAGTACTGTGGGTAAAACAAAAATAATCCACCCGCTTGGGAATGGTTTATACCAACTATTTATTAAGTGACTTGGGGGATGGTGACAAATATTGTCTTACCCTCATGACATGAAAAATATTGATGGATAATGCAAAGAAAAGGACAAGAACTGGGTTTGTCTGAAAATAGGGTATATTCCCAATTATAGCCATTTAATAGGGATAATGATCATTAACCATTGGGTTTAGGGGTACACCACCCAACTGGGACATAGAAGAAGTGTCCAGATTTCATGGTGCCTTTTTTTGGCCTGAAACACAGCTCTGAGCTACGTCTGCAGTTTTTTTCCGACTCCGACATCTTCCCTTGTGGAAAAAAACATCGGAGATGGACATCTAAAACGCGACACAGGAAAAGTATATATATATATATACCTAACAAAAAAATCGCTTTATTTTGGCTATGTTCCCATTTTATCCCATTTCATACCATGTTTTACTCTGTTTTGGTTATATATATAGATCTGAGTCTGAGATGATCCTCCAAATAGTGCCCATCAATCCATGCTAACATTTGAAACCCTACCTGGGTGCTGCACCGGACCGCGGCCACCCATGGCCGCATGGCGCTGGCCCAAAGTGGTCAGAGGTGCTGTGCTTTTTCAATCACCAAAGAATAGATGCTGTTATTGAATCCAATAAAAGATGCAATCTTCATCCAGCTGATAGTTTTTCTTGGCAACAAAAAGCGATGTCACGACGGATACGTATCTTGACGAATCTTCCCAACCAGATGTAGCGAAAATCAGGTCGCATTCATGACCTTCGGATCGATGGCGGAGATCACACAGCCACCTTTGAGGTTTTGAAGGTATGACTCACAGCCACCAAAACAACTTGCTGTTTTGTCAAAACTTTTCATCACTTATGGCAGCTATGGCAGTTATATGGATTTCTACTGCCTGATTGGAGAAAGGCTCCCTGCAACAGGTGAAGTTGCTTCGCTCCAAAGGTCTCAACGTGATATTGTTCCAAGGCCTTTCCTTTGAAGGAGTACAGTATAGCAGCTACCGAACTGTGTATCTGGCCATGGTGATCATCGGATCTTAATCCAGCAACAACCACAGCCCTTGCCACTCAAGGCCCGCTGGACTGTTATGCCGTTTCTTTGTTAGGACATCAATAATATACTGATTACATGTGCGTCAAAACAATGGTGGCACATTCACATACACATAATCAGGTCGAACATTCTGATGTGTTTGTTCCATTGTTCTTCTGGTGGGATCTTTCTATGGAAGCGTTATAAATTTCAAGTGCTGCAAACTCACAACGAAGGGAAAGATCCATGTGTTTTTCTAGACAGGCCAAGTACTTACAGTTGGATACAGCTTCTGACACCTAAACCAAAAAAGTTTAGATGGGAGATCTGCGGTTATTTGATAGGAACATCCTTGTCCACTTGAATATGTTCATTTTGGGGGGACAGATTCCACATCTTGTAGCTGACTACACTGTAAAACAAACTCGGTGCGCTATTTTGCCACGCGTCATCAGCATCTGTTCGGCCCATGTCTGATCTAGGGTCCAAATCCAGGAGTTGCGATTAGGGCAAGCAAAAGTTTAAAGTGAATATAGAACCATAGTTCAAAGGCCTATATCCCAACTTATGGAGTTATTTCCATGGTTATATAAATACATATTAGATTATGTGGGTAAAACAATCATCAACCATCCCCCAAATCACCATAAATAGGTGGTATCAACCATTCCCAAATAACTGGTTTATGGCATCGTTTTACCCACATTATACATATATATATATATAATATACAGTATATAGATCAAAAATCCAACCCAACCAAGCGGACTAGCGGACTGCACCAGGGCTGTTCTTGGTGTAACCAACCATCAGGTATCAAATGGACCCTATGTTTAGAGGCGAAACCGCCATATGATTAATGGCTAAATCCCCTTTAAAAGCCATTAAATGGATTAACATGGGTTTTCAACAACGAAACGCAGGGTTTACTAACCACAGTCTCAAACTCTGTGAATGGGACTCATTTCGATCAAACAGTCCTGCATTTCATAAGGCATCAGCCCTCGATGATCGCTAACACCTGGTCTCCATCTACTACATCTCCGAGTGTCTTCACTGTCACAACAAGGACGACTTTTTCCAGCGGAGATTGCATGAAATGTATTGGTGTACATCTAGTTGTGCATACATATACACTCTGTAAAAGGGAAGGGGCCAACGCCGGGCCAAATTGAGCATCACTGACGAAGGAAAGTAAGAGGAGTGTATGTATCTATACAGTTTATATGTATATCATGTATACATATATATACACACATCTGTAAGCATATATATATATTTATATATATATATATAGAGAGAGAGACATACGTACATTTGATTACATACTCTCACAATCTCTCACATACACAGATAAATACAATAATATGCTGTTCCTTTATGATATGGTTCGGACGCCCGGAGATGAGTCCTGAAACATGTACAACCGCCGTGATATGGGCGTCGCCTACGAGGCGCTGTTTGGAAAGCAATGTGTCGGTGATGTCGAGTTGGCGTCTCGGCCAGTTTTCTCATGTTTTCTCACTCTCGGGTTCCAACAATCTCGAGGATGTACAGAAAGAAGTTAATGATGTCCAAGTAGAGATTCAGTGCGGCAAAGGCGTAGTCATCAATGGAGAACTCCACTTTATGTCCACCCCATGATCCAAGCATCATCTGGGTGTCGAAGACAATGTAGAAGGCAAAGAGCCTTTGTGACATGGGTTCTTGACTGTCGTTCATAATTATGAAGCCGGTTGGTGGTTTTAAGCCACTTCAAAGATAATATATGGAGTTTGTTAGGAACAACATCCCGAAAGGCGGTAAAATCACATATATATATATACACGCATGTACATATACACATACATATACATACACATGTACATGTACATGTACATGTGCATATAAATGCACATATATATATACACACATATGTCTACCTACATGTAACAATAGGTCTATATATATACATATGTGCATACAAAAGATATATCTATTTGATTTTATATGCATATATGATTATATAAATGTGTATACACACATGCGAATTATGTACATACATGTGCACGAAGATATGTGTATACATGTAAATATATATATATTGTTAAATTTCACGAGGTCTTGGGGTTTTGGGATTTTTACGGTATATTGGGTTTCAAAGTCAAAATGCATCATTTCGAGCAACCTGCGAGCAGAAGGGTCGTGAGGAAAAGTGTTGAATGTTGTGATTTTTGTTGAATCAGTGGTCCACAGGTCCAACTGGCGTTCCAGAGAAACTGAAACAGTCGGAAACAGTCGGAAACCGTCGGAAACAGTCGGAAACAGTCGGGAGCGGCCCGGCGTGATCCTGCCAAAATTGTCAATCCGCCATTTTTTTGCAAAAAAAGACGTTCCGCGCAATCCCCTTTTTTTTTTGAAAGTGCAACGGGAAACAGTTGGAAACAGTTGGGGCTCGTACCTTTGACTCGGCATTTTCTTTATAAACTGGTTCATTTGCAAAAAAATGGCGGATTGACAATTTTGGCAGGATCACGCCGGGCCGCTCCCGACTGTTTCCGACTGTTTCCGACTGTTTCCGAATGTTTCCGACTGTTTCAGTTTCTCTGGAACGCCAGTTGGACCTGTGGACCACTGATTCAACAAAAATCACAACATTCAACACTTTTCCTCACGACCCTTCTGCTCGCAGGTTGCTCGAAATGATGCATTTTGACTTTGAAACCCAATATACCGTAAAAATCCCAAAACTCCAAGACCTCGTGAAATTCAATAATATATATATATACATATTATATATATATTATATATATGTATTATATATATGTATATGGCATTTATATAAATATGGCACAACCAACCAATACTACGTAAGATCGTTGGACTTGAAATCACAACATATTCCAGCTGTGCATGGATTCCACATGATGCCCTATTGATCTATTGGACGTTTGTGGATGTCCAAATCCAAATGTTATCACTCAATAATTCAACGGGAATCACTAGCAACAACCATCTTCAGGTCATGTTCAAAATTCGCAAGGCACTGGACACCATTCTATGCAGACTTCTTGAAGTCTTGATTGCAGTTCATTACATTTATTCATATAATCATAATCATGTGTATATATATATTTAACAAAAATAATAATAAATGACAAAAAATAATCATATTATATATTTATATATCATTATACAATCATTCCCCAGTAATCTTGCCCAATTTTTCCATCATTCACTACCCGAATTATGGCCCACCATGGGATTGTTACAGCGTCATCTTCGTAAGGTATTGCCACATTGCCCTTATTGGGCCGAGGAACATGGAGCCCATCACTGCAATGGCCTTTTGAAAGAGAGGCATCTGAAGACCAAACCTTAGCGGCCATTGATCCCTGAGCTGATATTTAAAATTCCCCCGTTTTTTTCCGTGTTGAAAACCGGGCTGATTTATAGTAACCTCTGCCATGAAAAATAGAAAACCTTCAATGTGTCGCTATTTAGTAGCATTTTACCAGCTTCCAATTTTTTTGGGGAGGTGCTATCAGGGAAAACAAATCGAGGAAACCACAGGCTAGATCATCATTTTCCCTAGTAACATTGCCATATCTTGGGCGTAAATCGCCGGTCTTGGATAAAGTGAGTGGTGGACAACCTCCAAATAAATGGCAGTTCTCACACGCTCTTTATTTGAGATCGTAGCCAACGATGCTCAAGGGCTGACGACATGCAGCCTGAGGATTACATGCTGCTAATGAGTAGGGAAAACGACAGGTATCTATATACATACAGAAGCAACATCAAATACATATAGCATCTTTAATTTCAGTGGATTCACATACTTTCTCACAATGCTCCACATTTAAAGGGCCATTCTAGGGTATCGGGTATTCCCCAGTTTCGACAAACCCACATGATTCATCTGGGATTGTATCTGGGGTCGTGTCTGTGGTCAGAGGGTGATAAAGAATACTCATCTGGGATATGTTCCACATCTTCCACCAGAAGTTATAGATCATTGTGGAAATTCATAGCGTTTGATCCCGTTTCAGGGGTTGAAACTCCTAATTGCGGGTAGTTCCTGTACTAGCACCTTCCAGTAACACATCACCAATCTGAAAAGGTCATTCATCTACATTCATGGCCCGTTTGCTGCAACTTTCAATAGTAATGTGAAATGACCTCAGGCAAGTTGGGCACAATGATAAAAAGGTTGTCAAAACACAGACAGCCATCTGGGGGCCCATCACTAGATCATCCCACGAACACGTGGATATTAGTTGTAGCCTGCTTGTCTACATTAGTTTGACCTAGGTCTCTAATCTATGTCTAATCTGTGTATAAATATATCTATATATATATGTACAAATACGGATATCATTTTATAGATAAATAACTCTATTTCTATCTATGCATATATAAATATATATTGTCATATTTTAATTTCAAATATATATATATGGGAAATTATCTATGATTATATACCTATGGTGATCCAGCGAGTTGCAGCTGCAGCATGGACAAAGCGAACGAAGC